CATTGAGAGTGCACTCAATATCAGTTTTTTTTTTAAATCATGTTGGTTTTGGTGGCATGTCCCACATTAAATGGGTTGCCTAAGATTAGTCTTTGTCAAAGTAGGTCCACCTCGTGATCTAGTCATTCTGGGCAGTCATATATTAATCACTGCTTTACTACTTCACTTGCGTACAGGTGCGGTACATAACCAACAGAAAATCATTTCCGGTGATGCATAACTAATACATGTTGCTGGAAATTCCATAACAAAGTATTTGGTAAAAAATGACTTTCAAAAGGGGAGCAACTAGGCAAAAGATATCTACTGGACCGAGTTCTGGCATTCCAGTATAACATTGGTCATGTACGTGAAATGTTCTTAAATTCAGGCTTGTGAATGAATGCTGGGTGGATCTACAAGCTGTCCCTTAATGAAGTTCCTCTTTGGAGGAGGGTCTTGGATTAACAAGGGAGGCGGGATGGACATTTCAACTACGGTAGGGGTAGGTCTTCGACCCTTGTAACAAACTTGAAATCCTCTGGGAACAGGTCCATGGCTCTGGGGTACATCAGACGGTAGGACTGCTTGATTGTGATTTCTGCTACACCAGCAATGTCTCCGATTTCTGCACAAAAGAAGATTGTCATCATCATGATCTTGCTATTTGAAACACTGCCAACACTTCCTGATTTGGGGTCAGAATCTTCAGAATTTGGAGGGCAGTGCATCTAAAAATTAGAGGTGTGTACCTTGCAACTGTCTTAACATGCTGTCTTGGCCATGTATCACTAAGGCCAAAAGCATTATGTGGGACTGTGGCTACAGCTGTTACATTACATGCATGTAGAGTGATATTGTTACCCACAATGCTTTGCTCCTCAACAACTTCAACCTGGGATAAGAATAACATGCATGCTTTCATGGAAGAAGTATAGAAGTCAATGGGATCATTTCTCCTCCAAAGCGTGCCATTTTCTGCTCAGGAAACTCAAACGCTCCAGTCATGATTAGAGACCGAGAATGAACTTTTAGACAATGTATCCATTTCAAGACTGACACAAACCTTTCTGAGTGCGTTTCTCTTTAGATGCCTGGGATGCCATGTAAATGGCTGCTGCTGCCACTGAGATGGGACTCCGTCTACACAGGAATGGAAATGTACATGTGAACTCTGGGTTCAAGACGTGAGCTTTCCAATTGTAAAGTAAAGCTAAATTCAGGTAAGTGCCATATATTTCAGAGATGCTTCACAGATGAGTTTCTTAGGAATGTCTCTTATGTGTGTTGAACTTGTTTGCTTGCTCTGGCGATGATAAGCATTGTTAACCTCTTACCCAGGGACAAGATCCAACTCCACAGCCTTGTTAGCCACATATGTAGCTGCCTTCTGAACAGAGGTTGGGAGGCTCAAGTTAGCACAGAAACGTGACTGCAAAAGAAATGTTATTTCAATCAATACAATGCTATGAAACATTACTATATTTACAATGCTGATTTTTTGACTCGAAATGGACAAAATAATCATGTGAAAAGTGGAACAGTAAAGAGTTGTTTCAGGAGCATACCATGAAGTCTCCGCTGTTGATGAGGCTGACATTGGCTTCTATCGCTCGGATAATGAGCTTGAAGCAGCGACCAATTTCCTTCTTACTGACTCGGGACACAGCACAGATTTCTAGAGAGGAATGATTGATGAAGGTGAAACATGATGCAAAGTCAAACAAAAAGGGAAATAGAAAGAAATCACTGCCAAGACACATGGGGGAGAAATACTCATTTAAAAAAATTTATGAAATTGAAGACTTGACCCATTCGATAATAAACGCTGCACAGGCAAATTTTCACATCTTATGCCATTAATAATTATTACATGGCACAAAAATGGAACAAAAAACCATTGCGCATTCTTTGCTCAAATGCAAAAAATCTTAAATGCAAAATGGCCACTGAATAATGGTCCATGATCTCATTTCCAGACTGGTTCCTTCTCCAACTTATCATCACAATAATGTTTGATGCCTTGATCGGGCTCCCTGCATGAATGCCCAATATACATCAATAGTATTCATATTCTTATTATGAATGTCAGAAAAAGGACTCGAAACCGGCTTCAATCACTAGCCTGTAACATACACACAGATCAACAATGAAGTCGAACAATTTGCCTTTGAATGTTCTAGGCACGCCCTCTTGTCGGCAAGCTATATACAGACAGGCAGCAGCTATTGCATCATTGCTCCGCCCCCTCAAGCTTCGCTGTTCGTGAACTTGCTTGAAGAGCCCGTTGGTACGATCCTGTGAAGGATTCAAATGCATCAGTTGAGTTCATACTTTGAAAAAACTTTGTCTTCACTTAACACTTGGTAAGACACCTGTTTAAATGTGAAATTATTCTCAGTAGCAAGCAAACGGCATGTCAAAAGTCAGCAAGACTGGTCGGCTTGTGTCATCAAGACTTCATCCAAAATGTGGGTACTGCAAATTTTTAACCCAAGTCAATACAATGATGAACCCCGAGCCGGACTAAGTGAGGGCACAATTTTCCTACCAATGGTGGTTCCTTTGGTTTTCAAATGACTTTGAATGCATGCGTAACGAGCGCATCACTACCAGCAAAATGAACACTCCCGACCAACAAGTGTGATATTATCAGTACAAAGGTCTGTTCCTGACTGGAACTGTACTCACCACTATCGTTCTCGGCAAGTTGATACGATCAGACATGTGTGAGATCTCTCGAAATGCACTCAGTAATGCCCTGTCTGAACTACTGACCTGGGAAAGAGGTTGAGGGCCGGAAAGAACATTACAGATTCATTCTGTGAGTATTCAAATGTGAACTTCATTCCGTAATTCAAAAACAAAGATCTACCTTAACGTTAAGTTAAGAGAATAATTACGAAGTAGGAAGGATCCTTTTAAAAATTAACCCAAGGTGCAATCACTACCAAAGGCTACCAAACCTGCATGAAGGAACGAGCTACACTGGCAGCTATATATTGACCATGGGCCGATTTTTCCCTGAATCCAGGACATATTTTATGCAAAGGTTAGCAGGGAAATCAATCACTGGATCACTGGTTGACAAGTGGTCACAAAAATCAACTTGGCAAAGGATAAAAAATATACAGTGAGGTAGCCTTGAAGTTTCTGGAACCTAGATGTTGGTTTTTTACCAGGATGGTAGTTGAGAGTGGGATTTACTACCTGTTTTCTGTTTTGGTATTTGGCCTGTCCATCTTCGCCGTAGCCTGACGAGCCCGAGGGCTTGCCTATGATGGTGGATAGGTCCCCGCCGCTCAGCAAGGGGTTCTCGGCCGCACCCACACGTGACGGGTCGCTGGTAGCCTTGTCGTTGCTGAATGTGCGCCACTCTGAGCCAACATCAATGCATCTAAGGAAACAAACGGTTGATTGAGAGGCTGACGCTATAAAGTAAGACCAGACTGAGGTTATGATTATGAATGGAGAAATGCATGTACATGCTAAACAGAATTAGGTCAATTTTCCTTTTCATCCTAGGTCGAACGACACTGGACAGCATGGCCAACAGATCATGCACAATATTGATTAACCCTCCTGTGCTGAAGTCACTCTTTGGATCACTTGGTAAACACCTCAAAGAAGCACAGCTGTGTCGTGTTGTGCACTGCACCAACAGACCCTCACAGGAATATCAGATTGCACTTTTGTGCTGCCCAACAACTGTGCTTCACTGTTTCATGTGCATAACTGTGCAGTAAACCAAATGTAGTGAAGAGGACTGCACAAAAGACCCTGGGTCATTTTGTGCTGGCAATCAACTGTGTACACACTGAACCTGTGCATGTTGAGTTCCATATAGAAACTACATGCTCACCAGTGACTGTGGGTTTTTGTGCACATTTGTGCTGTAAAACCATAGGAAGGTTAAGCCAAATACAATGTATTATCTTCTTACCTATCAACAACCACCAGACCGCACTCTGGACAGATCATATCTCCTGCATGGTAATCCTCAACCAGATTGGCTTCAGGATGTTGTGGACAACTCACACGATTCATGGTAAACCTGAAATCAAATTCAATAAATTTCAGTAAACATCGATATCAACTGAATATTTCATCAGTCACAAAGATGACTGACCATGTTGACCATTCCAGTGGTAACATTACCGGGGTTCATTGCCTTTTCTTTTTTTTGTCCTTATGTTTGACATAACCTTCCATTTAGGATATACAACATCGATGTGTTTGAAATATAGAAGACCTGACCCAGTTGTAATGTTAGGCAAACATGGTCGATTGTAGTGATGAGCATACTAAAATGAAATGATTGAGGATGGCAATTTATGTTTCATTTGCAAAACATTTAGAAAACTTTCCCATCCTGTCTAAACGTGTAAACCGTCCACCCTTACCACGGTGTCATTGAAAAATTGAAACGCAACAAATTGTATACAATGTAAAGAGTTGACACAAATTTCCGATGGTGAATTCATGGTAGTCCTTTGATGTGACCAAGCAAGTGTTCTAAAAATCAGATGACATTTTACAGACATCGTTTACAATAAAAATGAATGCCGGACTGCGTTAATTAAAATGTCAAACCTCTTAAAGGGATGGTTCCATTTAAATGTTTGAGAAAATCTGTAAACAAATTTGGAACTTTTTTAGTACAAACATGTAAATGTCCCACCCTTAGAAACAATGGTGATACAAGGCCTAAATGAAAAAAATAATGAATACATGATATAGGCCTACATCATCAACATCACATCAAAAGATCAACATGACCAAGCGCAAGCACTGGTGGTGCTGAACTTCTGTCTCTGTTATGTCCAGGGAACATTGCTCCTTTTTCCTTCCCACAATGCCTTTCTACCATTGTGCAAAATCACCCATGCAGTATTTGCGATAAGGCTTATTTCTGTCCTGGTGTGAGATAGGCCAAGACCTGCCGCCTGTTACCCCAAGCCTAGGCCTAGAACTTTGTAGAAGCAGAACAAAACAAAACCAAAGATTCAACAGAAAAAATAAGATCCTTTAACATATTTAAGACTATGCTAAACTCATCCCCGATACTTACGATCACGTCGACAAAACAATGATTGGATCAGTTGTCGCTTACAACATAGAGATTACGATAGCACCTTAAAAAAGTCTTAACTCCTTGCTGTGTGGTGCAATTCACGCATTGACAAGACCTGATCGGACATTTTCCACTACACTGTACATGAATTTGTAACAAAGAGTAGGTCACCAGACTTTAATATAGTGCTATGCAGGGTAAATGTCGGCGTGAAACCCAGGCTTCATCACTACTACAGCATTATGTCTGGTCTCCTTCTTCGCTAGTGCGATTTAAGCACAGTTTTCCTTCATTGGGCAATCTATCTTCAATTTTTCACTGCTGAGCTGCGGATACTAAAAGATAAGGGTCTTTCCATGCTAGGAGGAAGTAAGAAATGTGCAGTGACGTTAGGCCTAACGTCAGGAAACACCCGGAAGTAGGGGTTTATGTCCATTTCTCATGCTGTGAGCACAAGAGGTAAGAACTTTGCTAAAAATTCTCCTGTTGTAGCCATGCTAGCTGTCTGCTGTAGACTAATGTCTGCATGCTAGCCCAGGCATTGCCAGGTACTGTGGACCCCTGACCGTCAGACCACGGAGGAAGGAAAACCGTACGGAGGTAGAATGGAGTAACTACTACCAAGTCGTAATGAAATGAAGACAACGTTCAACCTGCATGACCTGGGCTAGTCTGCATGTCAAGTTATTTGCCCCGAGAATTGTTGGTTGTGTCCTGGCCTCCTTGGTTCATCATGTTCATGTAACCAGTGGCAACCGAATCGGCTACGCTCCATCACTCACTAGGCCTATATCTAGCATAACCGGCCCCAGAACTGTCATGACCATGACCATGAACAAAAATAACCATGGTAACATGACTAGCATGATTAAATTATTTAGGCCGTGTCAGGCATGTAATTGTAAGCATGCTTAGGCCAATGAACGAATGCTGGTCAAGTTGCATGGGTGCCAACTCGTACGCTGACCACCTCGTACACCAAATTGAAGGTAATGAGCATGCTGTTGCCCTTGCCACGTACGTGGGAGCGGGGTGGACGTTGGACCCCATGGTTCTGAGGGCAGCCCTTGTCCTCAGTGGCGTAACTATTGGGGGGCGTGCACAGGGAGCATGTCCTGCCCACCCATGCCCCCGGGTGCCCTGTGCCCCCCACCCCATTTCAATTCTATGAATAATCTTCTTTGAGTTTATATGCATGTAGCTATGCAGCTGCAGCTCATTTCCTTGTGAAGTTGTGGTGTCCCCCTGAAAAGAAAGTGTGCACCCCCGGATGTCCCGCTCAAAGCACTAATGTTGGGTGCCCGGACATTCAGTCAGATATGCCACTTCTTGCCATGTAGGATTTCCCCCCCAACTTGACATTGACCCAGTCTGGTAGAAAATTGTGTCCTGTTGTGTGTACTGATGCTATTAACCACTTGCTGCCAGGAGGTTTGAATAATGCAGTGCACATAATCGGGACTTTTCAAGATTTTCAGTTTTCAAAATTCTTCAAAAATTCATCATTTCAATTAATGGACGTTTTTACCCACACAAATTACTGTCTGGTGGCCACTCTAGTCTGACAGACAAAATCTATTGACGCCCAGTATTGCAGCCAGGCCTGCGGCCTTGTAAAAAGAGCTCAGATTGTGCAGTGATATGTAACATTCTTTTGTTCATGAACCTGGCATAGTGCGCTGTTGACCTTTTTTCAATAGGGGCCTGATTGGCGTGCAGCAGTGCTGTGTGGTTTATCAATACGGTGGAGTGCTTTTGTCCCCAGTGGTAATCCGCTCGCACTAAATGCCCCAAACCGTGGTATACTGTTTCAAAACAAGGCTGGATTATCTCCACTATTGAGAGTGAAAAAATGTTGGTAATGCCCAGCAGCCTGGTCTTTTGTTCCGAGTACGGTCTTTTGTTACAAGGCCCAGTTCCCTTTGTCTGATTTCGGAGACCCCGGCCACGCGTATAAAACACATGGTGCCCAAAACTGGGCTCCCCGGCAGGAAATGGTTAATGATGAAACTTCTCAGTGGTAAGCCACCATTGTAAAATAAGTGCCTTAACCTTGTATTTACATTTCTGACTACTGTACATTGTATTTGTGAATTTCAGTGATGTCATTCTTTGAAAGCAGCTTAGTTTTCTTTTCTCAATTTACAGTTCTGAAAAGAGTAGTCATTGACTCTAGAGTTCCGACTAGTAAACTTACAGTTTGTCACATTGCGGCACACAAGTTGGTCGGCGCATGACTTGGTCGGCCAATCCACATTCGAGTTGGTCAGTGTACAAATTGGCACGTGTGTGAGTTGACCTGTTCCCAAACAAATCACCATGACCACTGCCAACTCAAGTTCAACGGCTGAGCCGTTCCCCATACCACATTAACCCTAACAAGCCTTTCTGTTTTGTTTTGGCTGGGATACACCCTCAATCCTTCTAAATCCTCCAACTGGCCCCGTGAAAAAACTGGATACAGTCTCAGTCCTTCAAAATCCTCTGATATTTCTTGAATACATGTTTATTCCCGTGGAAGGGTGTCGGCTTCCCTGGGAGGGTTTATGCCAAATAAACCTTTTTATAAAGTAATATTATTATTATTAGAAGCTGCCATGAGAAACCATAACAAATGATGACTGTGGTCTTTCAGATGAGATTAACTACACTCATGGACACCACAGTGGCTGTAGTCTGTCTTCTTGTCCTTATCTGTCTATTGGGATTGATGTGGTATCATCTCTATACGCCGGTGCCATCAGCTATCAAACAGAAATGGACATTCCGCTTGGTGTTCATCATGTTCAAGGTCAACCGCAGCGTGGTGAGTAGAAACTCTAGGGGTTAGGGGAATTAAAATCTATGAGCTTATCTGTGCTTGGGGTTGTTATGGGGAGGGAGGTACCACCCTCGCTTTTATTTTTTGCCCAAGTTTGATTGAGAACTTTTAGACAATTATCAGTAATTTTTGCGTGGTACCCAGGGCATATTTTGCAAATGAATTATGTAAGTTAACTGGCAAAATCAACCACTCTGTGGAAGTAGTCACAAGTTGCCAAAGCGACTTTGGAACTGAATGTTTTAAAAAGAATCTTCCACATTGTACATGTACATTGTAAACCCACAGCTGTTATCCAGATAATGTCCATTTTCATGCCCTTCGCACGTTTAACTGTACAGTATCCATCTGTAATGCTACAGAGTCTTTTAAAAGCAAGATCAGAGCTACTTCATTTGTGGTGAGAAAGTTAGATTTTCCATTGAAAAGAAAAAGAATTTGTCTGCCTTGCAACAGGCCTGGATCTTGACCCTGTTCCGAGTCTTTGGCAAGACTCTGGAGGAGAACATGGCTGGCTTCACTGACTGGTGGCTCCCTGACTGTGCCATGGATGACAAACATGTCAGCACAACGCTGAGGGACTTTGACAGTGTGCCTGTCCGGATCCACCGGCCCAAGTTCCCCCATGAGGCGGGGCTTCTGCCGGCACTGATTTACTTCCATGGGGGAGGATTTGTCTATGGAAGCTCAGGTTGGCATTCGCAGCATTGCAAATACTTCTGTTGTGATTGACCTTAATCCTAACCTTGCAAGACTCCTCAAAATCCACAAGAGGGTTGTGGAAGATTTTGAAGGTTGAGGAAAAGCAAAGCCCATAGAGCCAATGCAAACTCGAAGTTTGACCCTACAAGTTGGTTCATAGTCAGCGCCAAGGCCAAATGGGACTTTGTGGTGGCAGATTGCATTTTTAACTGAGTGAATCCAACTGCAAATGTTCCATGGCATCAAATTGGCTTCACTTATGCATTGACCAATGAACAGGTATGAAACGGCCTTGACTCTCTGTCATTGTTGCTAGAAACCTTCCTGAACCCTAACAGTCCTGAATCTTCCAATTTTAATGTGATTTTGCACATACCCTAGGGAGTTAAGGTCAATCCTTCAAAATCCCTTACTTTGAAGAAAACCAATGACTCATCTTCTGCATTTTTTACTTTGACCCTGAAGAAACCCAAGGCCCCATGTTCGGGTCATATTGGCTGGGTTCTACCTTGCTGAATCCTACAAAATCTTCTTTTTGCAGGATCTGGTAGGATTAGGGCTGTTTCCCTCCACAGAAATGTTTCGAAATGGCTGTTTAGAAATGGCTTTTGTTGCAGCTTGAACTATTAACCCTAACCACTCAAGGGTTGCTGGAGCTAACCTTCCCCAATCACACAAACTTCAACATCTTGGAAAATTTCTCTTACCTCACAGTACCTAATCCCACAAATTCCAACAGGTCTTTACCTGTGTAATTTTGTTTGATTGGGTACAGCAGGCCCACTGCACAGTAGGCTACATAGAGTATGGACAGGCAGTACCTATTCAAATAAACTCACACACCATCATGCTAAATATCCATCCTCAACTTCAGGGATAAAGTGAGAGGACCACAGTACCCATTCAGTCCAAATTCAACAGGGTATGTGCAGGCCCACAGCACCCATTCACACAAAATGAAACACCAGATAGTAAGCTACCAGTACCCAATGCCACAAACTCACACACTTATTTTGAATTCTGTGTGTTAGAGAAGGTTAGGGTAAAAGAATCCAAGTTTATAGAAGTGTTCTTTTCTTGATTGGTTTTTTCTTTCAATAGCCTCCTATCATCCTTTTACAAGACGTTTATGCGAGTCACTGCAGATCGTTGTCGTGTCAGTTGAGTAAGTTTTTAGTTCTGCTTGTCCGGTTATGTGTTGATTTGCAGCACTGCATCACCCCCTTTCAGATTTTCTCAAGTCACTCAGCTTTGTTTAACAGAAACCAGCAACATGGGACCAGATTTGATTTAAGTATGACATTGTTTTGGAAAAACGAGCTTTAATGACGTCAGCCACGCAAAGATGCTAATAGGGTTGTTGTTTTGCAGAAGCTTTATGGAAAGCTTTGCTCTGCTTATGGGAAATATTTTTCAGACTTGGAAACATATGTTGAAAGAAAACTACGCATGATTTGTTGAGTTAAATGAGGCATCAGCAGCAGTACTTGATAACTGGCCCACTGTCTTCAATTCGTTGGTCTTTGGTTCCTTTTGCTTATATCAGTTATCGCCTGGCACCCGTTCATTTATTCCCTGCTGCCTATGAGGATTGCGTCACAGCCACCAAGTGGCTTCTTCTGAATGGCCCCACCATCAATGTTGACCCGCACCGCATCGCAGTGGCCGGTGACAGTGCCGGAAGTCAGCTGACTGCCGGGGTAGTCAAGAAGATCCATGACGACCCCTTGGTACCTGACCCCAAGCTGCACGCCCTGTTTAACCCAGCCTTGCAGTTTTTCAACCTCAGTAAGTGTCATTGGTGATTAAGCTTGACCCTAACCCTACCAAGAACCTTGTAAAATCCCAGCAGGCATTTTTAAATGGTTTTGCACTGTCGGGGACTCAAGGGGCTAGATGCTCCAAAATAATTTGAGTGCACAGAATATGTCAAAACTCTCATGCGTTGTGGTGGAGTTTGGAGCATTTAGGAAGATTCCTACCCCTTCAAGAAAATGAGGGATCAAGGGGAAAAAATTCAGTGCCTACGAATATTCAGTGCTCACGTGTGTAAGGAAACTGCAGATGATTGTGTCTGGCTGTGCAGGCGCAAAGGGAGGGTCAGTATGGGGTATGGAATGAGGGCCCCAGTTTGCAAATGAATGTGCACAAATTGTGGAAAATATCCGTCTTTAATGTGTTTGTTAGTAAAGCTGTGTCCAAGTCGTCAACTGGCTGCAGCTAGGAATAATGCATCTGTTTGATGCGGTTGCAGCTGGTAGCCAGTGACTTTTGTGTTGTTTCCAGTGGCAGCCTTGGGCAACTTCTATCAAGGACCACTGGTTACGTAGTGGCTGGTTTGTGACGTGCATGTACCTGGTGTATGTGCAGTGAAGTTCAAGTGCGAACGACCCTAATCAACCGTTAGGTACTTACTTCGGTCATTAGACCAAAGGGGAGAAAAGGTGGCAGCAGAAAGGGAAAAATAGCAAAAATATAAGTGACAGTGGTCGTTTACCAGTGACATACCTTTTTTTTTGGGGGGGGGCATTTTTCTTATAGCATGGTCCTCTCTGCACGGTGCTATTAAGAACAGTTTATGGTGACCATGGATGCAACTAACCTAGATAGGCTGGTCACGAATAGTTGTCCAGACTAGTCCAACCATCGTCGACTAGTCTGTGGTCGATCAGAGTTAGTCCAACTATGGTTAACTATGGTCCTTGATCCAACTTGGCTGTTGAGACATGACTATAATAATGCTTTTTAGGTTACTTTTTTATTTCTAGGGACTTAGTCATGTGGTTTGTGGTTGATTATCATCGAGAGCTGAAGTGCACAGCGATTTACAGTGAATTAGTTTAATAAACATACATACATGTATAACACTTGAAATCTATGTACATGTAAAAAGAACGCAACACATGCCCAAAAAAACGAGTAAAAATCTAAAACACCAAAGGGACTAAATAGACTGACAAGATAAAATTCAGGTGTGGCTATTGACAAGTCTGGTGAGGTAAGGCACAGGGCTATTTTCTAAATCTTATGGTTGAACTGGCATATTCTAATCTGGCCGATCTAAGATTTATAGAATGTATTTCCTTTGATTTACGGAACCACTCATTAAATCTACCCGATTTAAAGGAGCTTAAAGCAAACTTTGTGTACGGATTGATCCTTCTTTTACTCAGGTGAAGAAGATGCAAAATAGTCCGTTATTAAATAGCACTTTAAGGTAACCAATTTAAATATTAAGAGTTGTATTGAGATTTTTGTGGGGGGGGGGTTATGCTGCAGTCCATGACAGTTGCAGAATTTTGTTTTGCCATAGTGAGCATCTCAGCTATATCGTGTTACTTGTATTTACATTTTGCTCTATGCAGGCTCACCATCGCATGTCTTGTACGATTCTGTCTTCAACACCCGTGGCGGCATGCTGACCTGTCGCGAAGCTGTCAGTTACTTATCCACATACCTCTTTGGCAAAAGTCTGGAATGTTCAGCCTTCATTGAGTGGGTGGTGTCTAACAATGTCGTCACGACCGAATATCGGAAGCAGAATCCTCGCTATCTGAGCCACGTGGCTGATGAGCTCGTCCCAGAGAATCTACGAGCTGGTCTTGGTGTCAAGCCGGAGAAACCAAATGACCCGGCAATGTGGGCAAAGTACGGCCACTATTTTGAAGATCCTCGCATTAGCCCTGTCATGGCGGACAACATGGAGGGGCTCCCCATGGCCTACATCGCCACAGGGAACTATGATTGTCTCCGCGACGATGGCATATTCTATGCCCGGCGATTGGAGGAGGCAGGAGTCCCTGTCCGATGGGTCAACTACGAAGATGGCTTTCATGGCATGTTAAACATCGTCTTTGACTTCTTCGATGTAAGCAGGAGAGTGGAGAAGGATTTCGTAGAGTTTGTAAGAGGATACCTTTGAGGGTTGCAGAAACTTAGGAAAATGTATGCAAATCTTTTGTAATTTATTTACAATCTGTCTATTAAATTTTTCACGCTGGGATACTTCGCACATGTCCCAGAAGTGTATAGAGGTGGACAGTGTGTTAGAATTGGCTGTAATACATGAACTCTTGTTTGCAGCAATTATGGCATAATGACAGAAATTGGAAGTGATGAAGATTTTGTGTTTGCGGTAAGAAATGTTGCACAGATGCCTCATAAGGGTAAGCATTTTAGGGCATTTGGCTGTTTTTCAAGTGGGTCGATATATTTTGCCTTTTAATAACTGTTAGGATTTCAGCTGAAATACTGTACATGTATTAAGGTTCAGAAGTGGTTATCGTCAGGTGTACATGTAACAAGCTGCCTTATTGAGTGTCAGGTGCATCAGGGGTAACCCTCAACCTGCGGCTTCTACATGTGCATACATGTAAAGCACCTCACTGAATTCTCCACATTCTCCACTGCCTAGGAAAAACAACCTGCCTTGAGAACTTGTTAAAAAGCAATAAAATCTGCAAATCAATTTCATCGCTTTTTAGTAGTTAGAATTGACCAAAACTGACTCAGAACAAACTTCTTTTGCCGTTATACATGAGCATGTGACCAATTACCGTTTGCTTTTGATTTGCTAAATGTGATTTATCCAAGGCAGATGTGAACGTGGAAACCAATTAGAAAGATTAAGAGAGATTAAAGCCATCTAGTCTAGGGTGTAATGTGGTGTCCTCAGGAAGCATTACATGTTATACCATGATATTTATATATGATGTATTATTTGGTATAATGATATTGGATTGATCTTTCATCACCATTTATCATGCTTACTACCCCAGAGTCTGTGGGAATCGGGTGCATCTTACTGTAAGCCTAAATGAGGCAGTGCTCATAAAGTAATCCATTTATTATCACCGAGCAATGTTGAAAATTTTATTTGACCTTGCATTTTGTTTGTAGGAGCTAATTTTTTTTAGTTTGAGGGTAGATGGTTTTGATTACATTTTGAGACCATCTGTGCTTTTCTTACAGATTCTGTTTCATGTGTGCCGAGTGTTTTGTGGTTTTCTACTAAGTTCATTGGGTGACAAGGATTGGAAAATATTGTATGAAATAACAGAATAATTTACAAATGCCAAAACGTAAAGGTAGTTTTGAACAGATAATCTTTTATGTAGCCCTATTTAAATACTTTTGGACAAGTTCTTATCTCATTATCCTAATATGCAAGATGGAAAAATACCTCAAAATATACTGTGCTGAGAACAGCAAATTTTTGCCAAATTTTAATCATGCATTTTATACAGTATTTTACAAATATTTTTGATATAAAGACATTTTTCATTTCTTTAATGAGAAACACAGATTAATTTGTTATTTATAATTGCCACTGGTATCATTTTAGACATTTGTGTGTGTTTGTAACACCTATGAAGTTATTTGAAACGAATTAAATCATGTATGTAGCTAGTGATAACTTGTCTCTCACTGAAAACTAGAAACTATATTTTGATACTTTTTTACATGTATGCAGTTGAAAATGTAACTGTGAATTGTTGAAACATTTAATTTAAAGGGGTGTGTAATATGAACATGTAAAAATGGGGCAAAAGGTATCTTATCATTGCCAGAATATCTTCATTTGAAACTGGGGGACAGATCATGCAGGAACTCACGTGAAGTACATGTGTGTGTAATTGAACAGAATTGTTCAGGATCCAGTCGTTTGGATGAACTACTAAGACCAATTCTTGGTTATCTTTTCAATCAGTTTGAATTTGTTCATTCAACCAAGGTCAGTGATGACTTAATACTGTGCATTCATTCTTGGTAATGTTGCCTAAAGCTTTGTGCTGAAATAAAAAAGTAGTTAACTTTCGTACGTTCTGAATGATTACAAGCGAATCAGTTTGATGGAATGATACAACCCCTTGAATTGAATAAATGGCAAACTTCAATTTCCAATAAAAATATAAATAATCTGCATTTTGCTCATTTTGTATAAAATGGCAGTGCTCAACCCTTGCAAATTGAGTTTCTGATCAAAATCTTTTCATCAAAATTACTTTTTCAAAATCAAAAAGTTTTCATGTTGGTCAATTTTAAATGAACGAATTGAATTTTAAAATGTTTATTTCAGTAATTTTTTTTTAATTAGCAAAACTAACCCCTTATGTGTTGTATTTGGGATGAAAAACTGTAAAATCTTGAAAATCTTCGTTTTGATTTCTTTTAGAAGAAATGGCAAGGCTAACCCCTTAAAAATTAAATTGCTGATGAAAATCTGAAAAATTTTCATTTTGGCTCATTTCAATAC